ATTCATTTTCTTTCTTTTCCATACTCAAAAAGCCATCTTATCTTCTACGCAAATGGGCTTTTCACTAGGATACACATCAAGGGTTTTTAAATCATCGGGGTCACATACTTGTTTTTCAAAAGGGGATACTTTTCTGATACAATTAACAACTCTCTTAAATTCCGGGTGTGAAGTAGGTGTAAACGCATTTGAAGAATCGTTGTGTCTCGCCCGCATATGACTAGTCACTCCCATATAGTTTTTCACGACCTTACTTTCTAATTCGGCCATTTCAGCTCCTCTTAAAGTTCTAACATTTTAAGCTGTCCTTGTAACTCAAGTCTCTTTTCCAAATTCTTCTTCCTTAGTAATGCCCTTTCTAACCTCAATCTAGAAGTACTAAACTGAGATGAAGACTTACTATTAACACTAATATCATCACGTTTATCATCATTAAAGTCAGACATACCACAAACAGCTTTAGAAATTTTACCATCCATTTCGTCATTCTCCTTCGGCTTTCTGATTCTGGTTTCCATTGTTTGCTTTTGTTCGAAATCGAGTACCAAGCAAATGTAAATTAATCCAAACGTATTCGACCAATAATAACAAAATTTTGACGCAAAATATCTTGGAGCCAAAATGTCTCGAGCTATCCAATGTACGACAAAAGAATCAAAGTTGAAGTACCTTTGGACCCAAAAGTCCAAAAGTATCCAGCGTATGACCGAAGAACCAAATTGAATTGTCCGAAGTATCCAAAGACCAAATAAAAATAGCAGAACTTTTGGACCCAAATGTCCAAAAGTTTCCAACGACCAAACTTTAAATTGAAGAACCTTTGTTACGTCCAATTTTTTGCTCCTTGATCCTTAGAAGCACTGTGTGTCGATCTATTTGCAATTCACGATCCCAAAGTTTATGTCAAAACGAAACTCCGAAGCAGGTACCAAAGTTTATTGCCAATTCACAAATAAGCGACCAAAATGTATTTGTTTACTACAAATAGACGACCAATGTCGTTCTAACAACAATAATTATAATAATTACAATTACCTTCTACTTTATAGATTCTTGGAGCAAAAAACTGCAAACGAACAACCAAGGCAAGCAGGAGTCCAAAATGGCCGAAAATAATAATTCAAACAAGTTCCTAAGTTAAGTAAAACAAATATACCCAAAAAACACAGTGAAATTAATGATATTTATATATAAAGGTTTTGATCAGCAAAATGTCTTCATTTCTCCCGTAACACTCCCGACCAAAAGAACCTTGGTTCTTTTCACCGACAAAATAGATAACAACAATCCAAGTATGTGCATCACAAGCAATCAACAGCAAACATGCAATATGTCAACAATCTCGTGATCCATAGGACTTACACCAGTACGCCTAGGGATCCGAGTAGCTACCTACCATCTACCACTTCAAGAAGACACAGTTTACGTATATCTCTCACTAGGATCCCTTTTCTCGTCCTCAGTTCTACCTGTCTCACTAGTTCATCCTTACTAGATATCACTCTCTGTACTAGACCTAAGGGCCACTTGTTTTTCTCAGAGAAGTCAGAACATATCATTACTAAGTCACCTTCTCGTATGTTCCTATCTAATAAGACAATAATGTCCTTCAGTTAGTAGGTCATTTAAAACAAAGAACGTTTACAGACACGTCAGATCAGATCACGTGGTGGGCGCTTAAACCACAATTTGATTGGTAATTTATGACATAACTACAATTAGTTGTGGAAATAACAAACAGATATGGGGCGAATTTTATAAATGAAAAAAGTTTAGCGTTTTGAAGATCGTAACCTCACTCCTTACAGTGCATAACGGTTCGGTTCCGGCTGAGGGTCTAAGTAGCTATCGTCTATAAATGAAAGTAGTTCAAAAAAATCGGAATACCTTGTTTCATTGCATTCTGAAGTCATATGCACTGCTTTATCAATAATTCTTCTACTTTTGTTAATACCATATCTATACCGACGGGCACCGATAATCCATCTTCCAAGGCAAAATATCTTGCTAATCAAAACCTTCATTTATTCTTCTGGGATACAGGTTTTTATACTGAGTCACTAATTCCTGAATTCTATTACTCGAAGACGTGGTGTCAGTAACTTCCATTGACTGGTTCAATTGAAGACTAGATTCTCAGAATAACACTGACCGTGGGCATGCTATTCTAAACATATAAATCTGAATGTGACTCTGAACGCTGTCCAAAATTATGGAATGCTTTTCTTAACCATACCATCGAGATATCAACTATGAAGCCAGTTCTTGTCAGTGAAGAAACCACCTCCCGTTTGCTCACTAACCGCACTCTCCCTAAGTAACCGAGTCCGGATGGGGTATATTCATGGTTGTTGTCATCCCTCGAAGACACATTTGTAGAGTCACTCACAATGCTGTTCTATGTGTCCTTTTCGCAGGCCCAACTCTCTAGGGAATAGGATGATACTATAATTAGCTCTAAATTAAAATATGTTAAGAGATGAAATGTGCCTGACTAATGACCAGTCAGTCTAACCAACGGTGTAGTTTAGTTACTAGGACAATTAATTAGGACCAAGTTACTAATTCACGCAGAATAATACAATCTGCTTAATTACGAGTAATCGGGTTACATGAATAAGCAATCATGCCTAATTTACCAATTGCGAGAGGAGATTGAAGAGCAGATCAAGATACTGTTTTGTCTATCAAAGTAATATTCATGGATATAAGCAGGGTATTGATCTGAATTATCGAGGGGGGCTTTCTCATAAGCTTCCGGGCTTCGGAATAACACAAATGGATTAAACACCCACTCTACCACTGAGAACAGAGGATGAGAGTAAATTGGACACTAGTCGGAAGAAAACCGGTCTAATGTCCAGTGCTATAAGGCAACAGCCTGTGTCCCATACTGTCTCTTCTCTACATCAATAATTCACCTAAACTGCTAAAGCTGCCAACGCTCGTATGCGGATGAATTTAAAATCTAGAGAAAGACAAGTAGTAAGGCTGATCTTAACAGGTTTTTCTAAACCTTTTTTCAGTGAGCGTTTAAAACGACCAAATCTTTTCTCCATATCGTAGAACTCTGAGTGATTTTATTTTTTCATGCTCTATCTCGAATAACGATAAGAGAATTAGCGAGTCTTGCTCTCTCCCGAACTAGTCATCTGAGGGGACACTGCAAGAAAGTCCACAAACCGTGATCAACTAAACTCAGAATACGAGTCCATTTTCACACCAACTGGTTAGTGACTGGAACACCTCACTCGAACACATGATATCAGCCTGATCCATAAACAATTTCAAGGAGAAACTGGATCTTTACTGGAAATAATTTAAAAAATTACCGTGGATTCGCCGACCTACTATCCGTGTAACTGAGGCTATAATACTTGAACCCGCGTTTTCTCAAGGTTGCGCTACCGAGAAGTTTTACCATATACGGGAAGTCGATTATGCCAGCAGTATAATGTGCACGTCAGAGCCGGTATCAGGGTGGCTCTACAAATGGACAAACCTTTTAAAAGGCTATAAAAAGCGTTGGTTCGTAGTACATAATCATTTACTTAACTACTACCGGTAAATATAATCTTTAATTAATTTGGTTTTTAAGAGGACCCGATGCAGTTGGAAGACATTGTCATGGGACCTTCGACTTGACAGATGCATATTTGAGTTCCCAAAATTCTGGATCTTCATTCATTCTGACAGAGAGTTCTGGAAGGAAGCATTACTTTAAAGCATTGTCAGAAGAAGACAAGAAGAAATGGATAGAAGCTCTTAAAGATATTATATCAAGATCTCAGAGAACCCCTACTGGTTAGTCCGTCGATTATAGCTACATAAGTTTGCGTATTTTTGCATTTACACCACATGCATACCATCAATTCTGATTTGGGTGTTAACCTTTGTTTTCGGTGAAAAACGTCTTAGCAGTAGCAATGATTCTAGTCACAACCATATCTGTAAGTCTTTGAATTTCGCCACATATGGAACAAAACGTTTCGCATCTGAAGGCATATCCCACAAATGTTCATAATACCTGTTGGCGACGTGACAACTAAGTCAATTTTTGAATTTGTCTGAAAAATAAGTTTTAGTGACATTCAGATCACGAAATTATCCCAAGGTTAAATTTTAGAAGTAGTTTGGCAAGAAATTACAGACAAGAAAACTAATTCCTTAGTTCTTCATTCTACTATATTTATGCTAGGATCCTTTGACTTGTCCAGTTAGTCATTTGCAACGTAAAACGTATTTAGTACATACATGATTTTAAGTTGTTACACCACACTAGGACAAGCATGAAATTGCCACGCCAAATCTCAGAACAGTAGAGGTAGTAGCGTTAATAGCGGTAATGGAATAGGGATACAAATGTGAAATGTCAACCAGTGAAATAAATCTAAAAAAGGTTAAAGGTCATGAGAGATTCTGAATATTGGAATCTGAAGGAAGACGCAAGCGATGTTGAGAGATGTCTTACTAAGTCTGAAGTCACTGGTTACAATAATCGCGGAACCTAACTGGGTGGTCTTCACATACTAACCATAACAATAATTTCATGAACTTGCCTAGTAGTAGTAAAGCTTCAAATGGGGATTGCATGTTGATAAACTTGTTCGTATGCCTTAGTCAGCTACTTACACTTGATATAAGCACACTAGGAGGAATGTCAGTATTTACAGTTACTATGTTCTTCCGAAGAAATTGAATCTCAGTTTAGTTGTTACTTGGATAAATTAACAGCTGTCAAAATTTTATGAAATGTATAAATGTTTCAATAAATTTGGAGCGTTTAATCATTTAATTGTAGTAATAAATTTGTCTCTGGCCGTACTTATTACCTTGACTACATGATCTGGCTTGCTTTTCATAAGAACTTCATCAAGCTACTTTCTCTTAAACAACTGTTGCTTTTTTTCCTACCGCGCCAGGCAAGGCGGTCGGGGAAAGATATAGTTAAAACCAGCAACTAAAGGTTGGAGGGTTAGGTTTTACTGTTGATTGTACAGGAGTGTAACAGTAGTAAAGTATTTCCCTTAGAGAAACGATTCTTGTAGCGATTCTACCTCATATGGAAGAAAGGTGCTAAAAAAGGTTTAACCCGGAAGTATAATGCTTTACTTTTCCTATGAATTCCCATCTCCAGCGGCAAGGTCTTTCGAAGTATTAAACGAACACATCGCAGACTTTTCCCAAAAAGTTCTTGTGTAAACGAACCAAAAAACGTCCTTCGGATTTCGCAGTTGTGCCCTCCTGTCGGTACGATCACTGCCTTACTAGGTCCCTCGAGAGGAAATATCCTTCTACAACTCGGTCATTAGGGTAGGGACAACCCACTGAATACTTCTGTCTATACAGTTAACTATTGTCGTATAAATTTACCATCATGCGATCAATGCTGACATTCTGAGTCCCCAAAATGTTATTCCCAATCTTCTATAATAGCGCTCTAACCTACATGTTGGAGCCATCAGTGTTCGATAGCAAAATAGGCCTAGCTAGGACTCTAAAATCTTGCGCTATTAGTGTGTGTTATATCCGAAATCGGCATACGCATAGCCACTCACTCGATCTTACCTACTCAGAAAATCCGGCACGATCTACTGTCCATGTTTCTGAAGACCTCATTGCTAATTAATGTAAATTCAGAGGCGTAAGTACGGCGTTAAGTTCAAAGATAGAATGGGCTCACCTGTACTGGAATCCAATATATGGTCACTTTTGTGCCGTTCATTCAAACAAGGCAGTAAGAACTCTGAAAAATTAAGACGCAATAATATCACTTTGTTGTCTCTGTCTACGCCTCAACTGGTTGCGCTTCAAATGAAGTAAAAGAACAGTTTTACAGATTGAATTGCACCTTTCTTTGAAGAGCTGAACATTTAGGTATAGTAATATTGTTTGGTGATTTTAATACATAAATACGTAGACTAAACGAAACCGAAAGGCACACTAGGGAATCTTACGATGTCGCGGCTCAGCGAATAGATAATAGCAGTCGTTTGTTGTACCCATGCTCAGATAACTGTTAATTTCTAGCAAACACTAATTTTAGATACAAGGAAAAACACCGTCTGACATGACGTCATTCGCAATCGACTCAATGATTATCGCAAATGGACATTATTGCCTCCATCCGTAATTGGAGCGGCTCGATAGAAGACTCTCTCATTCTGAAGCACATTTTCGTGTAATCAACTCTTTTTAGGAGACGAATACTAGGTAGGGATGGCAAATCAGTCGATGAACTGGTGAACCTTCATCAGTTGAGGTGGTTCGGACATGTGTTAGGAATGCCTAACCACCGACTGCCTCAACGAGCTACGTTTTGTGATGTAGGCATAGGTTAGAAAGAAGCTAGGGGGTAGCCAATCCAAAATATAGCACGAATCCATGAAGTCACTGACAACTGGACTGAGTCATGTTGGTAGGTATAGACTACTTGGTTGGGGTGTCGCGCTAATGGAACAGATAATGGTGAACGTCTGCTGCAACGATGCTCAGATATCCAACTAGTTAAAGCAAACACTAACTTTAAGCATAAGGAAAAATATCTGACATGGCGACCTCCAAAGTCGTCCCAACAGTGGACCCAACTAAATCACGCCGCCATCAGCCACCGATAGAGGGGTTCGATAGAGGACTGCCACTCATTGTGGGGTACATGTTTAGATTCAGATGATGCTCTAGTGCGAGCGCCTATTTGTTTGAGGCTTACTGGACGTAAAAAAGATATCGCAAGTAAACCTGTTAGGGTTCTACTTAATGATAGAATAGCTAAGAATATATTTCGGGAACAATTAGAAAAAGAGTTAGGCAACCATGTAAGTGATTCCCATCCCGCCGTAGCTTGGAATGATATCCAAAGAGCTGTGGAAAGAGCAGTGATATCTGCTAGTACGGTACACCACAAGGATGGGGAGAAGCAGTGGATTTTAGTAGCATCTACCAAACGGATGGATTCTCGAAAACTCATCTCTCCTTGCTCTAAACATCATGAAGAGCAAAGTCAGCTTAAGCACAGGCTGATAAAAAGCCTACACAATGATCGCGAACAGTGGTGGTTGGCGAAAGGAAGTGCAATGGAATAAGCAGCTACGTTAGGCAACAGCGGACAGTTGTTCCGTCTTATCAGGGAGACCGGTATTAGGAATCTTAGTGTAAGTGAGACTATCTCAGAAAAGGGTGGTCTTATTATTCATTCTCAATCCAGGAGATTAGATCACTGGGAAGAACACTTTTGGGATCAGTTCAATTGGCCTTCAGCCACATTTCGGCTGTTCACGATCTCCAGTCATCCTTGCAAATCGATATAAGCCGTACAACTCTTTATGAAGTTGAGAATGCGTTAGGAAATCTGAATTAAGGGAGAGAAGCGGGTCTTGATAATTTGACCCCTGAGATCTTTAAAGATGGTGGTCCAGTTTTAGCAGTTAGATTGATCGAGATCTTAGGTAGAATCTGGAAACTGGACGTTATCCGATCCGAGTGGTCTCAATCCCTGATTGTCTCAATTTATAAGAAAGGACAAAAGTCTTATGACAGTCACAGGGGAATCAGTCTAACCAATATAGTTTCTAAATTGTTAGCCTCGGTTATACTTAGACACCTAACTAGAGCTCGTGAAGAGCAGACTAGAGAAAACCAGGCTGGTTTTCGGCCTGAATGTAGCTGTATAGACCACATTTTCACACTCAAATAGGTCCTGGGACACACACATTTATGCGTCCAACATTAGTTGTGTTCCTGGACCTAAAGGCGGCATTTGAATCTGTGGATCGTGAGGTTCTGTGGCAGTGTCTGTCATTGAAAGGTGTACCAAAGAAGTACATTAACCTTATGCAAGCTCTCTACTCGAACACTACTGGTCGAGTAGGAGCTTTTGGCGAACTGTCACCGGAATTCTTTACTTCAAGTGGTGTGCGTCAGGGATGTCCACTCTCTCTATTCTTGTTTAATTTTGTCATAGACCTGCTTATAGATGTAACGTTATCTTTGTCTGATTTTTCAGGAGTGCACCTTCTATAAGGAGATTCACTGGTTGACGTAGAATATGCCAACGACATAGTTATACTTAGTGAAGACGTTGATAAAACGCAGTCTTCTGACCACCCTAAGCCAAATGTAAGCATATTCGGGATGCGGTTTTCTCACTTGAAATGCAAAATGTTGCCTCAGGATTGGGTTTCATTGGTAGCTGAACTAGTGATAGGGAGTTAAGAAGTCGAGCGTGTTGACCGCTTCACTTATCTGGGGAGTCTCGTCAGTGCTGATAGCCTGGTGACTGACGAAATCTCAGCTCGGATATAGAAGGCTCGATTGGCATTTGTCATGTTGCGTATTGTTCATCATGACTCTCCACTTTCCCCACTTTTATTTTACTGCATCTTAAGCGTCCTCCTAGAGGTAATGATCTCATCGTATAAATTATCAGGAGTTCGTCTTTTATCAGGAGCTTCACTCGTTGAATTATAACATGCAAGTGACTTTGTCCTGATTAGCCGAGACGCTGACAAAATGCTGTCTTATGAGTACCTTAAAGAACAATGCAAGCTTGTTAGAAATGCGTTTTGTTCCCTTCAAATACAAAATCTTACTTCAGCACTGGTGCATGTCAGTGCTTGAATTAATGGTAGGAAGTGGTTTTTTGTGTTTGTCGACCGCTTCATTTATTCTGGAAGTCTCATCAGTCCAGGTGGGTTGTTCTGTAATGAAATCTCGGCACGGAAAATCGATTGATGAGGTCGGTGAACCTTATAAACTCGGGTAGTTGGGACATATCCTTCATATACACAACCACCATCTACCTTCATGGTCTGATGGTGATGTCTGGTAAACTAGATTAGTAGAAAGCTAGGAGCCGAACCAATACAAGATCAGTCCATGCAGATGCTGAAAATTGAACTGGGTCATATAGGTAGGTGCAAACTACCTGACTGTGGGTCTTTGTGATTGTTATAACCAATGGTTTGATACTTCATGTAACATGGCTCTTAATCATTCTGTGTTGATAAAGGTGGAATCACTCTTTTTCTTCTTTAGGAACCCAGGTCACGAAATTTTGTCATATCTTTTTTCTTTGTTAGTAATTAAGTTTTTGAATTGATATTTATGACACTTAAGATCCCAAGGAGTAAAGTTATATATCGCTAAATGCGTAGGTTTTGTTACATCCATTTTTAGTCTTGTCTATATTCGATTATCTCTTTTGGTTCAATAAATTTGTTTTTTGCTAAAAATTTAGAGATTGAATCAGACTACTCATCATTTATTGTACTTCGATCAGAAAAAGAGAACAATTTCAAGCAAAATTCTTTCAGATTTACTCTCAAAGGTCGGCCAAAGTTGGATATTAAAACAACCAGTTTCCCAGTTCTATCTCAACCACTTTCTCGCCAATCAGTCCCCCTAAATCACTGTGCTGACCAGTCATGTTCACACGACCGTATGAGTAATTCATCTAGTGAGAGGTATCGCAGAATAAAGGTCAAACACAATTCATTGAAATCCGATTGTATATATCCATCAGATGCTCCAATACAGAATTCATGTTCTCGCTCTATGTATGAACCAAATATTACTACCAATGACCTTAAGCTGAAAACTGACACCGGAAGACGTTTGTCCCGTCAATATACCATTTCATTCGAAGACAGCAACCGTTTAAGCATCATAGAGTCTTTACGGAAACGCTTGCATGATCACATTAGTAACATTTGTTCTCAAGTCAGTAATATCGAGTCAATGCTTACATCCGTTTCAAACGATTTATCCAGTTTGCTGCTTCGGTCGCGTTCATTCCCAGTGAATTCAAACGATTTTTTTTCTGCCTCAGATTTAGAAAGACGGACTACGTCTCTCAAACTTGCCTTACTAGAACATCGTAACGACGCAAAAGAATTTTACGAGGTTAGTTGCTTCCAAAGATGGCTTCAGTAAATCCTTTTTTGTGCATATTCATGTAACTTTTCAGTGTCATCTAAAAATCCTTACTTATCGTTCTTGGTTCATATTTTGGTAAATTCCACTTAATTCCGCTTGTCTTTCGTATTTCTGTCTAGTCGGTGTTAACTAGTGACTATGAAATAACTTTCTATGTGTATTTTTTGACTGTTCGCCAGATATGCTAATAGTTTACATATATTAGCTGTTTGTTATGCTTAAGAAGAAAACAGTACAGTTCTCGTAGAAAAATAAAGTAAATTTTCTCAAAAGAATTCTTATACCTCGCTGTGCCACTTTTTGCTATGCTTAGGTCTGAGAATACTTTCTACAAAATTTGAAGTTGGAGGAGGATTTATGTAACTGTTAAAACTTATTATTTGCTTAGTTATGAAATTTGGTAAAAATTGAGGGCCACCTACAGCCAAAATAAGCGTAATATAAGTTGTTAATAAAAACTACACTAAAGTAAACTGAATTGAGATAGAGAAATACTCCATAATCATTTGTGTTAAACTCAACAACTAGTATTTTTTTAGGATAATGACCAAAAAATTTTAGAAACTCAATGTTACAAGGTATATTCTTTAAAGGGAACTTGTTTAGATATTCCTGTTTACAATGTTCAGATAAATAACAACTAAATATCTAGTAGAATATCGTATTTGAAAGCAATCATTTAGATCATTTCGTTGTAGAGATCTTACAGGCGACTTCATAAACGTGTAGTTTATTGAAGATTCGTTGGTGTAAAAACTGTTAAGTCAACCCTTTAAGCACTTTAAAAGCAATTGGTGCTCTAAACATCTTAAGTTTCTCTTCAAACCTACTACTTTCTTGTACGCCTGTGTTCGCTTTGTACAAATATTTCTGAAAATGGTTCTGTAAAAGAGAAAATATAACTAATAGTTCCATGGCTAAAAATTGAATGGTTTGTTTGGTTTCTTCCAGAATATTTGTCCAAATCTTATGAATCATGTTCATCTAGAACTTCTTCCAGCTATTAAAGTCATAGGAATTTACATGTGTATTCAAAAGAAGGTTATTCTGTTTAATTTAATTACAATCATATTTTTACGTTCATGCATTGTTCCTTGTTTCTCATTACATCATTCAACTTACCTTTTTACTGGATTCTAGAAAATCCAAGTGTTGCTCCAATTTTTTTTTTAAAACTTTTCTTATTGAACAAATGTAGTAAATAGGTGTGATTATAAAGCCTCTCAATTTATTGGAATGGATGGAGCTATTATAAAAGAGGGAACATTTATCCTCAATAGTTAAATAATGATTGTTATATAAACCTTGCATTCCTAAAAAAGTTATACAGTTGTCATGCAGTTATTTTTCAATCTCATGACTTCGCGGCTTTTAGTCACATGTATTAAACGTGCATAATTCTGAAGCAGAACAGAGCACTTTCTCTTTTATTTTCAGATAGTATTAGGTAATAACAAACATGCTGTCACTACGACAATTATTATTTTCACTTCGATAATTCTGTTGATAGACCTGGAATCTCATACATAATAATAGTTAGCTGAAATAATGATCATAATATGTATGTTCTGAAAATTAATATTCACAGAATTCACATCAGTTTATAGGCATGGTCAATTCGATTTAGAAATAGCTGTTCACTTCAGCGGATGGAGATTGTCACGTTACATTGTTTGAAGTGTTGTAGTTCGAAAATTGTCCAGGCAGTACATTTTTCACGTGTATAACACTAATGCAAGGTGTCAGTCAGGAATTATTAATTCTTTTTAACTGGACAGCTTGTTGCTGTATGAACGGTGTTTTTAGTATCGTTTCAGTGCCATAGAGCATTTTTTATAATCACCTACAACTGGTTAGCGCTTGTTTCAGCAAGTTGGTTTTCTACCGGATGGGGTCGCTAACCCCATGCCCAACCCTCCCTCATTATCTGGGCTTGAGACCTGCTGTAACCCTAGAAGGGCTCCAGTCAGAGTTAAATTATCTAAAACTATAGGAAATAAGAAAACAGAAACTATGGAAGAACGGAAGCAATAATTACAATGATACGTCAGTCAGGTATATCAAGTCTACCATGATTCAGGTACAAGATTATTTTATGTCTTGATTTTCAGTTTAGATACTATTCAAATTAGTTAAATGTATAGAGAGTAGTTTTAATGTGAAGCATCTGTAAGGTGGTCCATTAGTAGATTCATTGAGTTCGTACAATTTCACATGTGAAATGGGATATACTTACAGTTGTACGCACAGTTGTTATTTTCTGAAGAGTACTTTGTTATTTACGCACTAATGTATAAAGTGGTCTTTACTTTTGACTCAAAAAAAAATTGAATTAATAATTAGGTTTTTTCTGATCTATTCATAATACTTCAGAACAATTGAACTCGCCTACTGAAAATTGAATTATTGGTCTACTTTGAGCGTTAACTAATGCCTCCTTTAGCACATATTTTATGAACATAAAGTGAGACAGCTTAGCGTATAAACGAGTTTACTTGTTTAAGGCTTTAAATAATCTCAGACAAGAGCGTCATTCAATATTTTTCATTCTATGTCTCCATTTGAAAATCCGACTAAACTTACCTATACAATATATATCAATTCGCCCTATCTTTTGGATGTGAACATAAGGTTTATTTAAAGATGTGTATAATGTGGCAACGGTGAGCTTAAACGAAATGGATACACTTTTATGCATGATTTCTACGTTGTCTATGTTGATTACTTTTTAGAAATCTCATAAACAAAAGTATGCAGCATAGTAAACATAATGAAATATTGATTAATTTATTTTTGTGATACAATTTTTGTTTGTTTTCATTGATCACACATTGGAAGACTGACTAACTAATTATATTTACAATTGCATAAGTATATTAATTAATTGAATTATGTTTTGCATTGTAATTTTAATTAAACAATTTGTATTATATGAAACTTATAAAATATTTTACTAGTTAGGTTACACTGCTAAAAATGAAAACATAGAGGATCACATTTGATACTTCGTGTTTATTTATTTCATGCCAAAAAAATATCAACGGATTGATGCATGAGTTAACTGTCAGCAGTCAGATTATATTTTGAAAATAGACTTAAATGAGTAGTGCAATAGTGTGGAGATGGTTTAACATGAAGAGCTGTAGGCTTGTTTTGAAAGTACATATGTCGCTCAGCAACTGGTTCAGAAATACCACTTTATCGATCTTCAATTTGTTTTGTTGTGATAAATGTTTATTTGGATCTATATATTTCGTGTTTTTTTGCCTTGGATCAAAGATAATATTGTCGACTGGCGTCAGTCAGTAAATACTTACAATGCTTTATTTAGATCAGTATTTGTGGCCTTTATTTTATTTTATTTCTAATATTTTATTTCAACACACACATTGGTGCAAAGGGCAACTAAATATTTATGCCCCACACTAATGATTGGATTTATGACTGGGCTGGAATACTGCCAGGATGCCCGAACCGGAGTAGGTGGATTGCTTAGGGAGCCACTTCCCGAGCCTTTGTTCCTAAAGTCTTATCCAAAAGGCAGTGGTGCAACATAAGGCGATGCAGTCCGATGGTAGTCAGTCACCAAAGTAGAGTCATATATCATTCGTTTCAACAAGATCCTTGTGCCTATGTGTAATATTGATTTGGAATCTGAGTTTCCGAACTCTCCTAGATGGATTTGTGAACAACACCCCATCCACAAGAAGGCAGTAGAACTTTCCTGGCAGTGACTATACATACGTGGAGGTATATGATGGAATTTCGAGAGGGAGAGGGGACTCTCCGCTCTTGGTTGTACCAGGGCATTTAGGGGGCAAAGTTTTGTGTCATGCATGTTAGTCAGTATTGTGTTACCCAGTTAGTTGTGTAATTACAGTAAATAGGTTGGACTTGTAATTCGTTTGTCTGGAGGCGGGGAATTCAAACTCTTCTGTATACTATGTTTGCATCATTGTAAGCTCTGTAAACAGTTTTCACTCTATCTATAGTATAATTCTAGTTGTTGAATTAGTAGTATACTTTAGGGCGGTTATCTATTAGTCATAACCATCCTTTTCACTCACAAACTGCTATCTGACATTAGTGACACCGATCTCTCTGTCTCGCTATATAATACCAGTTCACTGAAAATAAAAAGTCTTAGCAAATTAATGTTCTACAGATCCAATCGTCAATTTATCCATTTGATTGTTTTCTCCTTGCATGTTTCCAAATAAAATAAAACAATAATTCAAACCAATCTGTTATTAGTAACGACGACTATACCAGAATGTTACAATCATCATTCACAACATGGAACCTAACACATATGCATCGATTGAAGTTCTCATACCACAGTACAGTGAGACGAATTGTCAGGGCTAATCCCAAAGCAGTAGAAGCAGTATCAGTACCAGTAGCTGTAAAAGGAAGTTAAGGTTTCATGAGATTCCGATATTCAGGTTCTTAAATAAGACAAAAAGATGAATGCCCCTTTACCGATGCGAACGATTTGGAGCCATGTTACGCGAAACCTAACCATTGGTTACGATGATCATGTGGATCCACAACTAGGTTGTCTACAACTATTAACTTGGCTCAGTTCAATTATCATTAAGTTCATAAATTGATGCCACGTCCTGGTAACTATTGAAGTCCATATTCCTGAAACTGGTGTTTAAAACTGTAAACAAACCATAGTGAGCAGACCATCAGTCATTTTTTGACTTGAAAGTTATCTTTTTCTGATTGTCCGGTGTGATAAAATGGGGGTGGAATTACCAACGATTTGCTAAGTTTCATTCTAATCATTAACATATTTTTAAAAAGATCAGTATTTTTTATTTATAAGAGATTGCAAGCTTTAACTGATCAATGAACAATAAGCGAATATCACTAGTATCTGTTATCTCGCTCATATTTCATGGTTAAACGATCTTTTATTTTAATACACTTGAATTTTGGTACAACTGGACACACAAACATTGAAATAACATTCTGAGAATTTGAAGGAAAAGAAGCGATTACAATGAAAAATAACTAAACAAGGAACGCATGTATGGTGGAGTTGTTCAGTTAGAAATGCAATCACAATAAACTTCTTTCAACTAATTGGACTTAAAAAAACTAAGATAAAATGGCCATGGACTTCTATTCTGAGCCTTGGTTAATAATATTTCATGCCACTAAGTCGCATCATCTTTAGGACTTCAATTGAAAATTCATGATGGACACGCATATACCAGTTCTATAGGGCTTTCTTTCATACTCTGATGCCTCGCTCATAAACTGACGACCCCATCTTTTCTACCCCATCCCAGCATTGTCAAGTAATGCATAATTTGAAGCTTACCAAAGCCGATGTTTCAAGAGGTTGACTCTGATTAAAATATTCCGTATTTCACAGTTCCATACTTGTATAGGACTGAACGGACGATTTTAAAATCGCAACAGCAAGTCACGAATCAAATGATTCATCTTCTTAACACCATGTCACCATAGAGTCACACAGTCGTTAGATGAGATCTATCTTGTTCCCAAGTTGATCTCTGATCTGTAATCGAATTGTGTCATAATTTAACGTATAAAAAAACTAATTCACGAAATTAACAACACTTTGTTTACAGCTTTCTTTAAACTACCAACTAATTTAGTTGTTTATTTATGGATAAACAAATTCATCCAAGGCTGCAATATATCTTGTTAAGGTTGAAAATAAATTTCACTTTTATTGGTCGTTTAATCATTTTAATGTTGCTTCCATTCTTTAACCTTACTAGATTTATGAGTTTCAACTTTTAACGCAGTTACTAAACAACGATATCCGACAATTGCATGAATTATTACTTTATCGTTTAACATTCAATGTAGTTCAACTGCTTTTCCTTCGTAGTAAAACGTCCACATATCATTTTTTTAAAAATTTATCTGGTGTATTCAGATACTACCAATGTGTTGTTACCGATCTGATAATTGATTTAGGTTTCTAACTTCTATTTATCAAGAAATTCTTGAGAATTATTGTGGAATTAGTTCATCAATTCATTTAAATACATGTCTGTTATTTCTGCTTACATTGCAGGCGTCTACAGAAGCATTGCAATACTTATCTGGAACTTATGCTCGATTCAATCGACAACTTAATTTAGAACAAGATCGTTGTATAACTTTGGAGAAGACCGTTGAGCAATTGGCTAAAGAACTACGTAGTTTGGAAATCCAATTAAAATATCATATTTCTATGGCTTATGAAAACAGAAACATGAAAAAAATTCAATCTGAAGGTATGAATTATTTCTCTCACTTAATTTGAGCTTGTTAACCTCATTTCTTCTGATTTTTCTCAAATTCTTTATGATAAAGTAGTAACCGATTAGTTCATACATTTGACCTTGAATTGTTCGTGCTAATTTGAACCTCAGCTCGGCTGTATATTTTTGAACAGCAGGGTAACCGAGCTAAATTTCAAACTTTGCCTGACCCATTATTTGGAACTCTTTCCTGAAAATCATCCGATCTATAGACGTTTATCGACTCATATTTTACAAGAGTTCAGAGGTATTTTATTCAATTTATTCACTACATCTTGGATTATGATATACTTGAAAATAATTCACTAAGTACGTGATTCTGTACTCTGATTTGAGCTATATTTTTATGAGATCCAGTCATACTATCTAGCTGCCCATAAAAAAGTAAGCAAAATCCAGTTTGAACTTACAACTTAAAGGTTGAAACAACTGATGTCGCCTTTTGATGGGTAGCGATAAGCATAGGACCTAAGTAAATCAAGGTCACTTCTGACGTGATCACCTTATTTTTTCCGTTCCTCCTTTGTTTATTTGCATCTGTTTGATGGAGTAATACTTCAGAATATACCTTAATTATTGTGTATTAGTAATTGAATGCTATATGTATAATTTTCCAAAAAATTTACCCATTTTACGTAAATATTATTGTTTTTCCCTCTTTATGAAGATGTTTTCTGTTCACATTGCTAACCTTCTCAATAACAGATTTCAATCTCGTTCATTTCCAAGTTGGTTTTCTTTCTCTTATGAAATGCAAAAGTGTGATTTTCTTAAATTATGCAAGAATGTGGTAACTCGTTATGTTAATGCCAAAGATCATGTTTACCTGTGAACGTAATTCTATTTACAAATGTTTCGACCGTAGCTGTTACCTTGACATGGTGGTCGGGCTTGCCTATCGTGATGACCCAACAGAGCTATATTGGCTGGAGCATATGTTCCTGTAGGTTCTACCATGCCAGGCAGGTCGATTGGAGAACGATGAGACTAAAAGCAGCTACTCAAGGTCTGAGGGTGAAGTCGTACTGCTGACTGCAGAGGGGTGTGACAGCAGTAAGGTGTTTCCCTTGGACAACCAGCATCTGCAGCGATGCTGCCTTCTCACAAGGAAGGAAGGGTTAGAAAAGGTCGACCCTAAAAATGTCACACCTCACCCTACCTCAGGGTGTGTGCAGTCGGGAAGTGACAACCGCCATCATACCCGTAACAGCATGCTAGACCAAATCGGTCATAATCAAATCCTTCCTACACCCCCTAATACCTCTCTTATCTCCACGACTAACTCTTTTCACATTCCTTTATCACACTGCACCGCTAATGAAAACGATGCGAGTTTATTCTTGGTCTCCTGAAACTTCGTTCTAAACTACATGTTGGAGCATTTAATGTCCAAAGATTGTGTCAAATAGGACAACAGGCCTCCTTAGCTAGGACAGTCGATGTATGCTGCATCTTGGATCCGAAAAGCGTCACTCACTTGACCTCATCATGTCAAAATAAAGAAGCTACTCGATTTACCCTTTGTGTATCTGAAAACCCTGATGCTGCTTCCCGGGTTCTCTCTGGTGTAGGTATAGCATTAAGTCCCATGGCAGAACTAGCTCTCCTAGACTGGTCCCCAGTAGACAACCGCTTATGCGCTGTCCAACTAAACGGGACAGTAAGGACTCGGAAAGATAGGGACACTCACGCCCCCACTGATTGCAGTTCAGACCAAGTGAAAGATGAATTCTACAGAAAGCTTTCGGACCTCCAAAAAGCTAGGCGCCCTGATGTAGTAATAATGGCTGGTGACTCAGGGAAAATGAGAGACACCTGGTTGGTGTGGTGGCTCAAAGAACAGACATTGGCGACTGTCTGTTGCCAGTATGCTCAGATAACCAACTATTTCTAGCAAACACTAATTTTAAGCATAAGGAAAAATATCTGACATGGCGACCTCCAAAGTCGTCCCAACAGTGGACCCAACCAAATCACGTCGCCGTCAGCCACTGTCGCTCATTGTGGGCACATGTTTAGATTCAGATGATGCGCTAGTGCGAGCGCCTATTTGTTTGAGGCTTACTGGACGTAAAAAAGATATCGCAAGTAAACCTGTTAGGGTTCTACTTAATAATAGAATAGCTAAGAATACATTTCGGGAACAATTAGAAAAAGAGTTAGGCGACCATCTAAGTGATTCCCATCCTGCGGTAGCTAGGAATGATATCTAAAGAGCTGTGGGAGCAGCAGTGATATCTGCTAGTACGGTAAACCACAAGGTTGAGGAGAAGCAGTGGATTTTAGTAGCATCTACCGAACTGATGGATTCTCGAAAAGTCATCCGTCTTGGCTCTGAACATGATGAAGAGCGAAGTCAGCTTAAGCACAGGCTGATAAAAAGCCTACGCAATGATCGCGAACAGTGTTGGGTGGTGAGCGGAAGAGCGATGGAATAGGCAGCGACGTTAGGCAACAATAGACAATTGCTCCGTATTATCAAGGAGACCGGTATTAGGAATTCTAGTATAAGTGAGACTATCTCAGAAAAGGGTGGTCTTACTATTCATTCTTAACCTTGGCTTTTGCCAAGTTGCGTCACTTATGGCGTAGGCGAGATATCCGTTTGCTAACTAAAGGACGAGTGTTCTGAGCAACAGTTCTCTCTGTCCTACTTTATGGCTGTTAAACATGGCCAGTGAGAGTAGAAGATCAAAGTTTGTTTATGTTCCGTTTTAGACTCATAATTGGCTTGTTTTACCAATGGAAAGTAAAAGTACATTCTATTTGAATTCTAAAGTACTTTAGTCATTTTAATCAAGTCAATTTATTAAAATTAATTGAATGATTCATTTTCATTTATTGGGTCGCAAGTTCGTTCCATATACCTTTTACGTAGACTGTTCAGTTGTGTAATTTTTGGTCCTCATGGAATTGGTAATCAGCTCAAAATTAAGTACATACAATTTAATTCAGTTACAGTTTCGTTTACTTTTAGTAGCACTATGCTTACAACTGGTAGTAATTCATGGGTTCAAGGTCATATCGGAAAATGACATCACGATTACAAAATGATCCTAAAGCTAAAGAAGGATATAAGAATGTGAACAAAAATTTTTTTCCAGAGTAATACCACTTTGTCATTATTCGCACGTTTACAAATGTAATTTTTTGGACAGTTGTAATTCAATCCTCAGTCAATTTAGTTGTTTGTTGTTAAAATTCTAACTAATTGACCTTATACCAACTAGTTGATGTCTGTAAATCAACACTTGCTGTTGTTGATTTTGTGGTCAGTCAATAAATAAGTGATTTTTCAAATTAATCAGCTTCTATTAACGTATTTAAAACTAGTACATTATACAACTCATATTTGGAAAAATGAAGAATGTTTCATTTGGTATGGAAAAATTAAAGGCTAAGACTATTTTATATATATATATATTCTAAAAATAATAATAACAGAATTAATGACAGTTTACAGGCAAGATTAGCTTGATATAGATAAGTTCGCTAAGTTCTTCATTAACCACGTTAATCTGTAAGTAGGGAGGTTTGATGAGTAGGTTCAGTGATTAAACATTTAGAGTTCCTATAATTTCACTTATTCAATAGGATATACTTAAGGTGTGAGCACATTTATGGTATTGTACGAAAAGAACTAAGCATGATAATAGAGAATAAAAGATCGAAATGATTTTGTTTCACAGATGGATTGCTGTAAATTATTCCAGTCTTTGAGAATTTATTGTAAAAGTAATTCATGTAGAAAGAAGATTTTGAATGAAATTATTTTTTCAATGACAAACAGCTACGAATGCCATAACTAGGGTTTTTTGCATATTGATTACTTTATCGGATGCAAAAGATAGTTTATCAAGTATTTTGAAGAAAAATATTCGATTTAGTTGAAGCATCCTTTTTCATAAAAAGTAGAGTCTAAGTTTAGCAAATCTAGATTGATCAAACCCAAGAATTTTTCATCTCCACTGAACGAATTCCAGTCTTAATTTATCTTCTATGCAAACACACTTCTAAGTTTAAACGTGCAGTATTCTGAAAGTGGTTGGATACATACTTTGTACATCAACTTGACGAATTATGCAACCTAGAAGTCGTTAAGATTTGGAGGTCATTTTGGATACCTGTTCTGTGAAGAACGATTTGTAGGAGTACCTGAGTCCTACGTTCACAACTATATGAAAATCGGATAACACCTAACCATTTATTATGATGTCTTATTTTACTAAAAGGTTACCAAAGCAAATTCACATACATTTAACAGCGTTAAGCTCTAAATTCCGTTTTTGAGCACTATCGGGCTTACATACTGAGCTATATATACTGTTTGTAGTATCCTTTAATTTCGCATGAATATATTCAGTAATGTATTGTCAACAAATATAAATATGTCTCAAAATAATCTAAACAAAATTATCTCATGTACTCATAAAATTCTGTATCTTTTTGTGAATTTGATTGCTTCATTTATCGTTTACAGAAAATTTTTCAAAGAAACTGTATTATTGAATATTAAAATGTACCATTTCTTAATGGTAATCAATATCACATTTAAGCTATCAGCAACTGATGAATACCTACTGGCATAAAAGCTAGTTTCAAAGTTTTCTATAGACAATTATCCAGACACCTAACGTTTATAGTCAGTCTGTTCTATTATCACTGTTATTATTATTATTATTATTATCGCTATTATTCTACAAACTAAACCAATCAATAATTATAGTCTAGGCCAGTTGAATGAAAGAAACACTCCCGATGACAAACAAAATCATGTAATCTTTCAATAAATCTTATTACTATTAATAAGTATTTTTTTTAAGTTGCTTAACTACTTAACTAGTACATCTAACTGAAAATACAAAAATGTATTGATTGTTTTTAGTAGTAGAGTAGTAGTAGTAGTAACACATCAATCAATTGATTATGTATAATTGACCTTTTACTATTTACTAATATGATCATCATTCGATTCGTTGACATCATACTTTCATTCAGTATAAATTCAACATTAGTTTATTATGCCTACGGAATGTAGAGGTGAATACATATTTTACTGCAAATCAATATATTGATTTTCCAATGGAACTGTATCATCATTTATATGGTAAAGAGGCACAGGCCTAATAATGTGAGCGTCGATTTGAAAACAAAATGAATTCAAAAGTTTTATTTTTAAAAATCCATGTTCCTCTGTGCATATTTAGTAGGTGAGCATTCATTGATCATGTGATGAATGATGATATGAGATGATTTTGTGTAAAATTTGACTTGTAAAAATTTTTAGTAATCTACACCATATGATACACTTACTAAATAAAGACAATATAGAAAGTAGTATTTCTTTTTTTAATCATTGATTCATGTTGTTTAGCTATGGATATTTACTTGATAGTAAAAGATTTTTTAGTCGAATTCTGGTTGTATATTGTGCACTGATTGTTAATTAGGTGAAATTAGAATGTATTTGATATGTTAGTTTTTTTCTAAAGTAGATTTGAAACGATTCTGTTACAATGCTATAATGTGGTTGTGAGTTATCCACCGATAATAGTTTCCAAACTAGGATGAAACAGCCAACTAGAAAAGTAAAATGTGATTTGCATTAGTGAAGTACTTAACTTATTCCGTTTAAAATAAACTGAAAAAGTTTGTTTTCTGCATTGAAATCCCTTGATCATGTTGGTAGGTGTAGACTACCTGGTTGGGGTCCATGGGATGATAGTAATCGTTAGTTAGACAGTTAGACATTGAACGACATGGCACAAAACCGTTTATAATGGCGCAGGTGCATCCACTCTGTGTTCTCTGAAATCCTAATTTTCAGAATTCCCCATCATCTCTATCTTTCTCTTTTTAAATTTATTTCACTGAATTATACTTCTTGGATAATATCTTCGAACCTTATTCTTCTCCATTATCGCTAATACTTCTACTATATCTGCCACTATTGGATATGAACTGAGAGTTGCGTTTTTGTGCTAATGTGGTATTGCAACCTGAACTGATGTACGTACGTATGAAGTTCTACGTTGTAACTAACTGACTACTGACTGATTGACATTTTTATTCTTTCACTGAGTTGAGTTAACACTTTCGTCCACATCATATGAATAGTTTTGTTTGTAGTGAAGTAAAAAAATTCAAATGTTCAGGCGTATTTTCTCTTTGATAATCATTTGAGAACATTTAATATTCAGTTTAGTTAGATGCCTTTAATAGATAACATCTATCATATATAGCCCAAGTATTGTCTTGATTGTAGTCATTTCACACCTAGTGAAGAACACGCTCATGTTAAGGTGTTTATCTCTATTTTGTTGAAAAATGTAATAACTTGCTATTCTTGTGTGTGCTTATTCCACGTGTAAATAACACTGATCAACTATGTTTACTGTGCACTATAATAAGTCATATTAAAAAAAACAACAATACAACAGGAATGTTTAAACAAATATTATGTGTGTTGCTTAAAAAGTCTTTCTTCTCTCTCTCTCTCTCTTGTTATTCACATTGCTGTTATTAGTTATCAATTATAATTAGAGTTGTTATTGTTATTTGTTAAAAATCTAGATTATCTCATCCAACTAACTCAATTGTAGATATGTAGATAAGAAAAAAAAAGTTTAATATTCATCACTTTGATTGGTTCATGTTTACATATAATTAATTGTAATCATTTTATTTGCTTGAAATCTGTGTTAAATATCGTCTATCAAGTTGCCTTGTATGTATTATTGATATGTTTTTATGTATTCTATTCTACATTAAGAATCAATTTTTTTTATGATGCATTCATTGTATTCAGTCAGTGCTTTGTTATATATACATTGATACTATAAAGACATTGTGTAAATATTTGATTATAAAATTTTTATAATCCAAGTGTTTATTTTTCATGTTGTATATAGTCATGTGAAAATAATGAATTCTATGTATGATTGTTTTCGGGATAAGTTGTAGTCGTCAGCTCAATTACGTAACTCTATTGGTTATGTAAATAACAATTGAAAGACATAGTCGACTTGTTGTTTGTAGGGATTTGTTTCATTGGATAGCGCTTTTTTATCTGTTATGATTTAACATCGTGTAAGAAAGTCATTCAGAGTATCGGAGTACACTAGGCAGCTATTTCGTCATTATCATAGACCATAGTATCATTAATCACTCATGAATCCACATGAGATGATTGAACTATGAGTCCTTTGAGTTTCTCGGTATACACTATATTGTTTAATCACCAAGTCGAGGAACCATAATCGTCATTGCTTAGTTCGCAATATGGAGCATATGTTTTCAAATGTTGTTATTTTTGGACAGCTATTTCACCTGCGACTTGGATAACTGGACAGTTTTAGATTTCTTGTTTGAAGTTTAGAATATAGATCTTCATGTTATTCATTAATATGTGAAATTTACTTACCAATTACGGGTTTGTGTATTCCCTTTTTCAGCCACAATGTCTGTGTAAGAGCTATGCCAGTTGAAGAATAGGAGTTAGGGTCTGAACTAAGTGTCCAAATCATTAAGCTGTTATTATACTACGGTATATTATATCCCTATCCAGTAGACATCAGTACTGTATCATGATTTATTATTTTACATGCAAAAGTGTGTTTAATTTGAAACTAATTTTAACCTTGGACATTAGTTATCAAAAAAAAGAATAGTTGTATGTTAACTGTTGTTTAACTATGGTAACCTAATAAAATAATAGTTCTCATAAAAGCAGTAATCACGTAAATACAATTGATCCAAATCATAATGATCCAACTATGTATTATTTAATCGATTGTTAATACTGAGAAAAAGAGACCAATTTATTCAACAGCTATTGTTATTGATCTTTTCGATTTTGTGTTACTGTAAAGAATCACCATAAAGATAAGAAGGGCTTCGAAGCGAATTGAACTTAAATATAGAACATCATCAGGACGATATATGATACATTAATTCAATTTACTAGGATTTCAACTAATGTAACAAGCAGAATATTAAAAAAAACTGGTTCGTTGTTTTAACTACAAAAAATAGCTATCGACTTTAAAGTCGTTGGTTGCTGGGGATGTTAGATCCCCAGAACTCGCTTGATAAATATCTTTATTTTGGATTTATTTCATGGACCAATCAGTTGACTTTGAAATCACATTTCCCACCAGAAAAATCCTTGGCTGTGATTGGTTACTGTGTCATTTTAGTGTGCTATTTTTGTGACTGTTCCAAGGACGTCTCTATAGAGTATAAATAAACGCAGTTTGAGTGCTTGGATTCATTGTGTGCTGGCTGGGTGTTTGTAGAATACAATTTCTACACTATATCAAGACTTCTTGCTGATACCTTTTGGTCAAGGGATCACCGTAACCTACCTGGATGCCGGTTCATTATTTTGTTCTCGTTATTCGTCTAAGGTGAACTCGTAATAGTTTAAGGATATCTAGAGACGAGCGTAACACTGATAGATAAAGTATTTATTGTTTAGGTGTTTTGGAGTTAATTTGAAGCTTCATCCTTGTCAACTGTAGTAATTCGATATCTCTTCTATTTTGTACTTGTTCTAAATTAATAGTTATTCTATTATTTTCGTTTTTATTGGTTGTTTTAATCTTCCCACTGATGTATAGGATTACAATCGATCAATCTTTTTGTTATGTATGTATCCTGTGTGGATTACCTTTTTTAGGGTTGCAAACATTATCAGCAAAACGAAACGCTCATCCTGAATTCTACTGCTAGTTACCAGTTAACTCTGCTAATATTGTACTAAATAATTATAAAAACTATGATAAAAATTTATCAAGCTTTGCTTGTAATTATATATTGTAAAGTAATTTCTCTAACCTAATCATTTTCTTTAGCATGTAAATAACCGGTAGTTTGTTGGATTAGAGAAAAAATTAAGCCGTTAAGCGCACATCTTGATTTGTTTATATTGATGATCACCTTTCTTCATCTATGATACTACGATTTGGTAAATTCTCTTCATTAGTAACCGTCACTTTATGGTCGGTTGTTGCTCTGTGTCTACTGTATTCGATCAACTGATAGAGTAGCTGTGCAAAAATATCGATAAAATGATATTGTTTCTCTTGGTTTTGTGTACTCAGAAAAGCTCAATAAGTTGTATCATTGTTCTTGAGATGGTGTAGAAAATTTGTAGCTCAGGTGGATGATTGTGGTGGTGTTTCGTTCTCTGAGCTGGATGATTTGGTTGTGACTTCAGGTAAAAGACTTCTATCTGAAGTTTGTGCTGATGATGTTGTTCAGAAGAACAATGAAAGCTCCACAACCAAAACAACCAGCTCAGAGAATGTATCATTGCTCGGTCAACATAAATACTCTCCTCTATAATCTTACCAAATATAACGATATCAATTAAATCACTTTTGATTTATTCAACAAAAATCAAACAAGTACACGTGTTTCACAGTGTCACCTTTAACCTAACTGGTTTCATAATTAGATGGAATCTATAAAATGGACTAATCATCAAAAAGAGTGACACCATTGCAAAAAATAAAGTCGTTGCTAGTTTTCTGTTTAAACTTGAAAAAAAGAGAAGTAGAGAATTAAATTACAAACAAGTCACGAAATGTCAACAACTACTGATTTTTCTACTAATTAAGAATTTTTAAAATTAGATCATTTGTATTATCTTATCCTGGTATTGTTTTGTAATTTTGGTGTGAGCTTATTAGCTTACCAAAAGGTCATATATATATACGTAGTAACTCAGCTACTTATCTACTTGTTTTTGATTTGTGTCAATCCTCTTACCCTTCTAATCTATTTATACCGCATCAAAACTTCAACTTTGTGTTTGTTAACATTAACTTCTGTTGAATTCCATCCGATATTCTTACATCTCTTTTTTTTTTAAAGTAACTGTAACAAACAGTTCACTGTTCAATTAATAATTATAAAAGAAATAAGATAAGTTTTACGTCATTTTGTTTTTATTTTTGCATATTATAGAAACCAGAAAAATTGTAAAACAAACAGTAGAAAAATTTCCTGATCTAGATAGTATTAATGAATTCTATGATGCTATATCTAATTTGGATATGATTGGACATTGTGAGACGGATGCTGAAATCAATCAACCTGATATAGAAACACCGAGAGCATTGAATTACACTTCATTATCATTGCCTAGTAGTAGTGATGCAGTACGAGCATCATCAGCTAGTTTAAGTAGTTTAATGAATGTTGATGAAACATCAGTTTCAGGCAGTGAATTAGAATTACCAAATGGTTATACAAATAGAAGTAATGTTTTAAAATCTATTCGGGTAAGTTGAATTGTATTGTTAGTTAGAGGTTTTTGTAAAAACACACGAAAAAGTCTATACAATAATTCTAACATTTTTAATGAAAACTATTATTATTTTTTCGATGAAATGCGTTAAAAACTAGTGAAATTTAATGCGTATATATATATATATATGTTTTCCAGCATTTGTAAACAGTAACGAAAAACATCATTGCACAAACAGAACACCGATAAATAAGACTCATAACTGAAACATTACAGTTTAGTTTGTTACACTAAAAATGCATCTAAAAATTGGAGAATTGGCATAGAAGTGTATCAGAATTGTAAATAAGATATTTACAAATTAGTCAGTCAGATGCAACGTAGAACTTCGTACGTAAGTACATCAGTTCATGTTGCCATACCACATCAGGACAGAGAAGTAATTGTCAATTCAAATCCAATAGTAGTAGAGGTAGTAAGGGAATTAGAAGTGATCGGAGAGGTTAGAGTTAGAAGATATTATTCAAGAAGTATAATTCAGTGAGAAAAGTTTAGAAAGTCAAAACTAGAGGGGTTGAAGAATCCAGAAGATTAGGATTTGAGAGAACACAGAGAATAAATGCACCGGCGCCACTGCGAACGATTTTGAGCCATGTCATTCAAGGTCTCTAACCATCGATTATTATCATCTCGCGGACCCCAACCAGGTAGTCGACAATTACCGACATGTCTAAGTCCACTCGTCAATGATTTCATGGATTTGTGCCATGTTTTGGTTTGGCCGCCCCTAACTTTCTTCCAACCTATTCATACACTAACAAACAAAGCTCGTCGAAGCAGTCTGTGGTTAGACGTACGTAATACATGTCCCAACCACCTCATGTGGATAGAATTTATTTACCCTGTTTTTACTTTGATGTAGACCTAAGTGTAGTGACTGAAATTTAAAGAACTACTGTCTGACTTTAATTCATTTAAAATTCTATTGGAAAATTTACGCTGTTTCTGTTTTACTCGTATGTTGATATTGGCAATGTGTAATCAATCCAAAGGATAAGAAAACACATCTTATGGCCATATCAAAAGCTGGTACAGAGAGAAACGAAGGCGAATAAATACGATTAAAAAAAAACGCGTAGATCAGCCCAATTCTAACGAGTTTCTGCATTTCAACCGATCCTTAAACCATTGTTAGTAGTAGGTCACGAAAGCATCAAGTAAAATTGTGTTAAACCGATGATTTTAGCTTATTGATTAAAAGAATAAAGCTTAGTAGTAACATACTGGACAATGACAAATCTCAGTGTGTTATGATCTCAATCAAACTATATTCTCTGGTTCTCCTCTTGAATATTGAAAGTTTTTTCTATTATTGATCACTATTTTTGCTTTCTTTTTGTAACTACTCAATATAGTCTGATGGTTATTCGAATACGTATAATAAAAATTCTACTACTGACCAACGTAGTAACACTTTGAAACGTGGCCAAGTTTCTAAACGTCGAAGTACCATACCTGTGTCACCTAAAATTGCATTAAATTTATGGGGTATAATTAAAAATGCTATCGGTAAAGATCTTGCAAAGATTCCAATACCTGTAAGTACTTTTTCATCGATAGTTTCTTTTATAATCTGATAATAAAAGCACCTTTTTTGTGTATTAATAATCAGAACAATTCAGGAGTGACATAGTTGAATGCCTATATGAATAAAACATGTTTATATAATTCAGTACATTCATTCATTGATTGACATATCTATCAATAAAATAAAGTTCAACCAAATGAATTAGATAAACTATACATTATTTTGTTCTATCCAGTTAGAATTAAATGAAGATTAAAGTGAATTATCAAACTATTCTAGACATTGTCATCTGTAGGTTCTTTGTTGATGTACTTTTTTACTTCAATTGATTCATTAGTTATTGTTTAATTCAAACTATTTTCTCAACATACACAACTATAACTACTTGCTCAGTGGGAATTGTTCACATTTGAAATACACTGGTATTTGAGATTGTGTACCTTTAATTAATAAAGTACACAAAGCAGCTCAGTAAATTCAATGGATAAATATTCCGAATACTTATTCTGAAATTAAATTTATGCAACAATATACAAGCTACTTGTTGAATAAAATTCTAAGTTAAAAACTGGGAAAATATTGTAGACAAATTTACAGAGACAAAAACAAACATAACTCTCTCTCTCTCTCTCTCTCTCTCTCTATATATATATATATATATATATATATATATATATATATATATATGCGTCACACAAATGATTGGATTTATGTGTGAGCTGGGCTACTGTTCGGGTACTGTAACCGAAGCAGGTGGTTTCCTTAGAGGGGTCACTTCTCGAGCTATTGATCAAAAGACCTGGTCCATAAGAGAGTGAAGGAACCTTGTGAAATGCGCTCCCATGATAGCCGGTAACCAACAATAGGTTCATACTGCTTGTTTCCTCAGGATTCTGTAGCCCATATGCACTATTGGTTTGGAATCGGGGTTTTCCAGCTCCTTTAATTTGGTCCTCCGCACCTACATTCGCCTTTTGTGTACTCGATTTTGTAAACAACACTCCCTGGCTGTGGTTATATACGTGTCGCGATGTAAAAGCATCTGGAGAAGGAGAGAAGACTCGCCTTACTCTCGGCAGTACTAGGGTATTTAGTTTTAATGCGATTTAATTTGATTGAAAAAATACATAACTTTATATCGAATTACTTATCCTTTACTAATAATTGTACATGTGCACATACACATTGTGAAATAAACAATTAACTAAATTTCCACTCAATTTTTTTAAAATAATCTCAATCTTACTATTTTAGGTAAATTTCAACGAACCTTTATCATTTCTTCAACGAGCTGTTGAAGATTTCACATATTCTAATCTGTTAGATTATGCTTCACAGACAACAGATCCAGTGGAACAAATGGCTTATGTTGTAGCATTCTCAATTAGTTGTTATAGTTCAACTGCTTATCGTACAACTAAACCATTTAATTCATTACTCGGTGAAACTTATGAATGTGATCGTACAGATGATTTGGGTTGGCGGTGTATTTCAGAACAGGTATGAATAATAATAATAATAACAAAAATACACATTTATTTATCTAATCAGATGTATATATATATATATATATATATATATATATATATATATATATATATATATATATATATATATATATAGTTGTATTTATGTGGGGGCCCGCGAGACGATAATAATCGATGGTTAGAAACCCTGAATGACATGGCTCAAAACCGTTTGCAGCGGCGCAGGTGTATTCATTCTTTGTGTTCTCTCAAATCCTAACCTTCAGAGTTCCTTATCACGTTATCATTTTCTTTTTAAGTTTCTTTCACTAGATTTTGCTTCTGAATAATATCTTCGAACCCTAATCTTTCCGATTAGTGCTAATACTTTGAAATTTCTCCATTGCCGCTAATATTTCTTCTATATCTACTACTGTCAGATTTGAACTGACAATTACATTTTTGTGCTAATGTGCTATGGCAACGTGAACTGATGTACTTACGTACGTACGAACTTTTACGTTGCTATTGATTGGTTGTATTTATGTGTAGCATCATATTTTGTTTATTTGACTTGAATACTTTCCTTATCAATACATCTTGAAGCGGCCAAATTCATTTTTCTACGGTAGAGCGCATGGTAATGTTCAATTATATAATCCAGACAAAAGGTGCCATTAATTTATGTCAGTTAAAATAGAATGATGTCTGTTTTTATCACTCTGCATTGAAATCTTCACTGTCAAGTTGTTTTATTTCCTCTCTGTTCGATTTTATTGAACTCTCATTATTTTTTTCATGCTGCGCTATGAGTCGAAATTTCATATTGATTCTAACTTATTGTTACGCTAGTTCTGACAATCTTATCACTTAAATTAGAAGTATCGGTTATCATTGTCGATGAATATATTGTCCTACTGTACGGATGCGAAACATGACCGGTAAGAGTAGAGGACATTTGTAGATTGCTTGTCTTCGAGCATAGGTGTCTCCGAAGCATTGCTCGTTTATCCTGGGACAGCCGAGTAAGCCATGATGTTGTTAGGAAACGAGTACTAGGTAAGGATGGCAGATTAATAAATGAAGTAGCAGTGAATGTTCATCATGTGTTACTGATGCTCAACCACCGACTGCCTCGACGAGCTATGTTTATCGATGAAGGAGTAGGTTGGAAGACCAAAACATCGCACAAATGCATGAAGTCACTGACAAGTGGACTAAGTCATGTTGGCAGATGTAGACTACCTGGTTGGGGTCCGCGAGACGAAAGTCATCAATGGTCAGAGAACTTGAAAGACTTGGCTTAAAATCGTTTGCTATGACGCAGGTTCATCCACTCTGTGTTCTCTCAAATTCTAACTTTCTGTATTCCTCATATCTCTATCTTTCTCTTTCTAACTTTATCTCACGGATTTATACTTCTCGAATCATATCTTCGAACCCTAATTTTCTCCATTACTGCTTATACTTCAACTAGCGCTACCATATATATATATATGCATATATATAGGAGGAAAACTATCTACTCAGTGACTTCATATTCTTTTCTGAATCTTTTGATGTGATTATTTTGCGAATCCGATCATGTTTTCATTGTAACCAACGAATCTCATACATACAGACTGATAGTGAATTGTTTAATGAATCCAATTTTGAGATGGTGGAGAAAATTTGTAGCTCAAATGGGGATGATTGTGGTGGTGTTTCGTTCTCTGAGCTGGTTTTTTCGGTTGTGAAGCTGTCATTGTTCTTCTGAGCAACATCAACACTAACTTCCAAAATATCCAACTCAGAGAACGAAACACCACCACAATAAATCCAATTCTATGTCATATATGCGTTTATACATGTATGACACGTCTTGTTATTTTTTTATTTACTGTTTAACGTTGTAAACTGTAAGTGACTATGATTAATTAACTTTACAAATACAAGGTCTGTGGTTTCGTTTTAATTTTTTTCAAATGTTAAAATCATGCATTTAAATTGTTTGCAAAGTTCGACCAGTTTTGAGTACCGAATGCTGACTATGAGAAATGGCTAATCGTTACTAAAACCTTGGTGTCCATCAGACAAGCTGGTGTCTATTTGAACTCAACAGTAGTAGTAGTTCAATGAATAATACGTTATAGGTTTGAAGCGAAAGGTGTGAATATTAACACTGTCGCAGGAGTTCAAAGTAGACTGAAATGCACTGTTAGAATTCTACTTCTATGCTCACATAACGAATATCCTTCTTAAACTAATGTAAACCAGTTTTTTTTTCTCATTCAATTAAAGTACACCAATGTGAAGAGTTAAAGCATAATATAATCAATGCTGAAAAGCTAGTATTTGTTTTTCTGTATCTCTCAACTACTACTGTTTACCATTTTTTTTTTTGAAAAAAAAGAATTGTAAAGAAACTTTTAATTAACTCATACACATCCATCAACCCATCCCTTTTTTTTCTATTCATGAAGTGTAACTTTCTTGGATGGATATATATATATATTTCATTGTTGTTTTTTAAAAAATTCACAATTTCTGTTATGAAAACAACAGTAAAACAATTTAAATCAGTGTTTATGTTTGTCTATATCTATATGTATATGCGTGTGCGTGTGTGTGTGTGTTGGTGCCTGTGCACGTTTCTTGTTGATACTATTGTTTTTGTTGCTGTTACTGTTATGTGAGCGTTTTGTTTTTTCCGTAACTGTCTACGCCTTTTTATTTTGGTGTGGTTGTTTGCTTACTTGAAGAAAACAAAATAAATAAATAACTAAACCAAACTACTCAGGTATTTTATTGTAAACCTGCTTCCTCCTTTTTTATTTCGAAGAGGAGATTCCTTCTTGATAGTTAATTTTTATTTATTCAATCTGTAGTCGTTATGATTGAATCGATACTTTTTTTTCTCGGGAAAGAGTTATTTATAAGTAGTAATTTGTTCAGTATTTCGTGAAATATGTGCCATTGTATGTAGGATTTAATATTTCTTATGGTCCAAAGACCGAATGTCTTGGGTTGGAATCCCGCAAGTAACTGTATTCGTGGTTGCTCATTGCTGATTAATCCTAGACCCAGACGAAACGGCCATCCAGTGCTTCCAGGTTTCTAATAGTGCTCTAGCAATGATTCATTCATGATTTTTAAATCTCAAGTATTAATATCTTAGGATACATATGTTGAAAAGATGTTTTATTGTGTAGGCTAAATAGTTGAGTTATGACATTGTCATTGCCATCGTGGAAACGTTTATCAGCCAAAACTTCAAAGAGGAGTGAGCTATTAGAATTTCTTCATAATATTACTGATAGTTTATTCTGCTGACCTGTAATTCATTAGGTTGTTGTCAGTGATCAGAGAAAAAGTCAGTTATATTTCGTCAACTAATTAAACAATCATCATCAGACTATTGTTTAACTGGTGTAAAGCACTTCTTATTCTGACATTACTTACTTAATTACTTACGCCAGTTACCCTCAATGGAGCATAGGCCGACCACCAGTTTTCTCCAACCAACTCTGTCCTTAGCTTCCCTTTCTAGTTCTTTCCTGTTTTTGTTCATTCTTCTCATGTCTTTCTCCATCTCTCCGCGTAATGTGTTCCTTGGTTTTCCTCTCTTCTTTTCACCTTGGGGGTTCCATGTGAGGGGTTGTCTTGTGACACAGTTGGGTGCTTTCCGCAGTGTGTGTCCTATCCACTTCCACCACTTCTTCCTGACTTCCTTCTCCGCTGGAGTCTGGTTTCTTCTCTCCCATAGTACGTTGTGGCTGACAGTGACTGGCCAAAGGATCCGAAGTATTTTGCGTAGACAACTGTTAAGGAATACTTGTATCTTAGGGATGATGGCTTTCGTAGTTCTCCAATTTTCCGCTTCATACAGTAGAAATGTCTTGACATTTGTATTGAAAATCCTGATTTTGGTGTTGACTGATACTTGTTTGGAGTTCCAGATATTTTTCAATTGTAGAAGTGCAACCCTTGGTTTGCCAATCCGTGCCCTCACATCTGCATCGGATCCACCTTGATTGTCTATGATGCTGCTCAGATATGTAAAGGTGTCAACGTCCTCCAAAGAATCTCTATCAAGCGTGCTTTGGTTGATGCATGTTATGTTGTATCGTAGGATCTTACTTTCCCTTTTATTTATGTTGAGACCTACTGCTACACTGATTGTCTTCTCTTGCATTTGTTGTTGTGTGTGCGATAGAGGAGCCAGGTCATATTCTAACATTATTTGATTGATTTAATGAATCTCGAAGCATCTTATTTGGTTTAATGATGATAAACTCTTCTTCGTAATTGACTCTGAGTATTCTGTGGGTTCCATAGGTTTCCTATGTCCATCTTCTTGTGTGTATTTCGCCAAGGTTTCATTTTTGAAACACTTGAATTTTCTACAATAATTCATATTTCTTTATTTTGCATTATTTCAGGTTAGTCATCATCCACCTGGTTGTAGTCAATATTGTGAATCATTACGGCATAAATGGAAAGTATGGCAAGATTATTTTCTATCAACAAAATTTCGTGGTAAATATTTATCTATCACTCCTAAAGGTAATTTCTCATATATTTCTTTTTAAAAATATATTTTCTAATTGTTTATTTTGTGAATTAACAAACTTATTGATAAATCAGTTATGACAATAGAATTTCTAGTCGATCAATTGTAAAACTTACGATAAAATTATTTTCTGTTGTTAATGAACATAATAATTTTCCTCCGTTTTGTTATGTTTCTGTTGGGGATGTTAGATCCCCAGAACTCGCTTGATAAATATCTTTATTTTGGATTGATTTCATCGGCCGATCAGTTGACCTTGAGATCATATTTCCCACCAGGAAAATCCTTGGCTGTGACTGGTTACCGTTTCTTTTTAGTGTGCTAATTTGTGACTGTCCATGGACGTCTCTATGGTGTATAAATAAACGGAATTCATTGTGTGCTAGTTGGGTGTTTGTAGAATACACTTTCTACACTATATCAAGACTTCTTGCTGATTCAATTGGTCAAGGGATCACAGTAGCCTACCTGTAGGCTGGTTCATTGTTTTGTTCTTGTTATTCGTCCAAAGTGAACCCATAATAGTTTAAGCATACCTAGAGACGAGCGTAACAATTTCTACTCATAAAACCTGAATAATATGACTTTTAAAGGAAAAAGGTTTATGAAATGTCACTTTCTAATGGTTTATTTGATAGTGTCAACTATTTCACAGATCGTACTGAAGAACTATGTAGTTTGTTTAATCGGCTGATATTTGTTCAACAGTTACAAACTCCTTGGATCAGCATTGTACTTCATGTTTACACGCTAATCAAAGAGAGAATTATATAGGAACCTGTTATAAAGACAGTTTCGGCGTATCACTTGCAATGCTTATCAACCAAGAGATAGGAGGACCACAATGGACGTCATCACGCTACAGATAGATCTACAGAGGAGGTTACATTTTTTAACTGTGTTCGGGGGAGTCCCAAAAATATTCCTAGTCAAACTCTCCAGGGTCCCTAAAATATCTGAAACTCTGAAAAGAAGCTTTGTAGAAACATCTGAGAAATTCTGAATTACTTGTTATGCTTTTGATTGAATATTTACGTATACTGGCACCATGCTTAGTGTGGTTGCAGAAGCCCGAAATCATGTTTAACTTTATAAATACCCTCGTTTTTTTCTGTACATAAACTAATCTTAGAGTGAGTCTTTTACTCGCATTTCGCACTTTATTGTTTCAGTTGGATATGCAGAAGATATTGGGCTTTTAGGAACTGGGCAGGAAGACAGACTAGACATATAAGTAGCAAGATTGATCACATTTATTAACCAGAGTGGTCAGTAAATGTATTTTTTCTATATAAAGTATGAATACTATTTTTAGAATAACTGATAATTTTAATTGGTAACTGTTGTCAATAGAATTGAAGACATAAGTTACTCTATATTTGTCACTCATCAATTGTGTATTTCAAGGTGTTGTTTCACCATTGATCATTGAATGAATATCAAATATCCTTTCTTTTCCAGTTAACATGTAACGAAATAAAAATGATTTCAGTTAGTTATTCAGTATTTCTTCAATAATATCAACATATCTCTTATTTCATTCCATATATCTGATTTCTATGCCTTTTTTACTTTTTGGCTGTGAACAATTTAAATTCACTGCAAACATATATAACGTATGTAGAAGGAACAGGTAAAAAAAAGCACACAGCACTTACTGGTTTTGTGTATATCACCTTTTTTTCACACTGGTTTTTTATCATTTGTTCTAGTGTGTGTGTGTGTGTCTGTGTGTGCACTATCAATCGGTTTGTATAGAGTTACTCATACTCACACACTATATCAGTGTTGTTCTTCTGTAAACACTTTATACTCCTCCTTCATCAGTACTTTTCCAAACGCAACAATATTGATTGTGTACTGATCGACTGCGTGGACTGGTGATAGATAGACTAATCAAACTCTTGACGAAGATGCTTGGTTTTTGAGGCAGTGGGGGTGGTGTACCTTTTCAGGCTCCTCAAGAAACACCCGCGGTGTGGTCAGCCAGTAGTGGTGTTCCCAGGTGAGAAAGATGAAGTCTAACAATCAGATCTCAATTCACTGTAAAGTGGCAGGGGGGACAATTCACAAGCCTGCCGTCTTTCCATCGTTTGTGATGATATTTTATTGTTATTTTTCTGTTAATAATAATGTGCATATCATTATCCTGTTTCATTCGATAGTAAAAATCTTTTTATGACTAGCGATCTTGTCTTCACAAGGTTTGTGTTACTTCTACCTGAAGTTTGTGCAGATGATGTTATTCAGAATGACAATGAAAGCTCCATAATGAAACCATTCAATTCAGAGCACGAAATTGTATCATAATTTTTAATCGAAATCTTACTACTACTCTGTATATGTTGTGTTTAGCTGCTACTCATATTCGATCATTCATGTTAGATTTCTGATTAGAAATCGTTGCAACTAATCAATTTTAAAAAATATCACATTTCTAAACGATCCAAAAAATTTTGTGTTCCCGTTGTTGCTGTTGTTTAAATTGTATTCCTGATTCTATGTATCAATAATTTTCCTTAAAATGAATAATTGAACACGTGTAAACGAATGTTTTTATGTTATTCTTTTGAGTAACATAAAATTGCTAACAAATCAAATATTCAAGGCTTTAATTATTTAACTACCATGTTTCTGCTAAAAATTTGTTTCTATGCTCCGTTGTATTCGTAAAAATAACTTGTCTATTAAGCATAACAGATACAATTCTTATTTATCTATAGCTTTAAAAACTCAATCACATTTTTTTTTGTAGAACATCTTTGTTGTTTTTGATGTGGAATTTAATCACTATGAAGTTTGGATCTATGTTTTTTCTTCTTTCTAATAGTTCTCTTTTTTATTAAACATGTGTGTCTTTCAAACAAGAGAATATTTCAAGTTGTTAAACCACATTAATCAAACTATTTTTCATAATATTCATTGATTACAATTGTCACTTTTGTTATGGAAAATATGTTGAATGTCTGCCTCTTTCAGACGATGAACTCCTATTCTTCATAGTTATTTTATGTAACAAACAGATGTTGGCAACAATATAAATCGGTAAATTAGAGTAATCATACACGCAGTACTGAACAACCAGTCCTTATCGATGTGTGCTTGACTAAAATGTTTATTTATGCTGCAAATGTTATAGCTTATAACATTCGTTGACTTATTTGTGTGTAAGTTGTTATATTTGAATAGTATTGAAATCATGAATCAATCATTGTTAGAGACCACCATTGGAAACCGGGAAGTACTGGACGGCCGTCTCGTCCTGGTATGAGACTCATCAACAGTGCGCATCTGCAGCTCCTGCTACTCGCAAGGTTCGGACCCAGGACCTTCACTTTTAAGCGTGAATGCTTTACACTGGACTATTTAGCCTGCACCCGACGGTGTTCATGTCTAATTCTGGCCAATATAAGATTTTGCGCAACGTCACCCTGATGAGTCCCATACCAAGACGAGACGGCCGTCCAGTGCTTCCAGGTTTCTAATGGTGGTCTAACAATGATTGATTCATGGCTTTAATTATAAGCAACAATCTCCCTAACTCCTTCATGAAAAATAATCGAATGCACTGTTTTTTTCTAATTGAGCACTTCTATGTATATAACCGCTTTTATATTTACTCTTTGATAGTTCTGCTTTTCTTTGTCTCATCCATTGGTGTATATGTATTTTTATTGAATATTGAGTATCTAGAAGTACTTGTGTTTTTTGACCAAAATTTATCTTTAAGTGGTTTAATTTAGAAATAAATATGTTATTCATTTCTTCAATTAAAGATGATACAATTAATAATATAGTTGCTCATCCTTATTTGTTCTTCATGTCCAAATAAAAATATCTTTATTAAGTTATCCATGTTACACTGCATTTTATTCCCTAATCATAACCTATTCAGTCATCATTCGGTTAGAGTTTGAGATAAATCTATTGTTTACTCACATTATTATTTTAAATTTAGACTATGAAGGTCACTTTGTTCCGTATTAATTACGTCTGGTCCTCAAGATGTGATATTTTATAGACGTACAGATCCTTGTGTAATTTTAACTGTAACCTTAATTGTTAGCGATACGTGACCAAACCGTTCAATATTCTCAATATTTGCCGGTGTTTAGCATAATTAATACCTTAAGGAGGTAGTGGTACGAGTTCATTTATTTTCATATCATATTCATTAGTAAGAATAATTTCGTACAGGGTTTTTTTTTCCGAAAGTATAGTTTAAAGTTTTTCTATTTTTAATGTGATAAATTCTGCATGGAGCATTACATTCCCTAATTAACGTTTGTCAATTAGGATGAAATTTATGTCTTCAATTATCACTTAGTGCTAAACAAGAGTTGTTCCATCAGGGTGTCAGTTACACCTGTGTGTGGTTGCACCATGAGATTGAGCCAAACTGTTCTTGTCGAAACGCTACCACGTTGGCAGTCGTCTCCTTGGTTCTCGTCAAAACCAATGTAAAATTGCCCTTGACAATAGAGAGGGTTAATTTAAAACTAAATAATAATTGCCAAACAAGAATGACATAGGTTATTATTTAGTAATTAGTTTGTCCTATGGGCTAGTAGTAATACATCGCCTTCTTATTATGGGACTTGAAAATACTAGTGACAAGAATACTTCCACCTTTTTTCTTTCAAAAGAATATTTTCTCTACGTGAAGAAACTCCCTTGGTTACGCAAATTGTTGTTAACTATCTTACTTCAGAAAAAAATGTATTAAGCTACTTTTCTTTCGTTGAATACTGTACATTTGAATAGATTGTCAATCAGTAATAAAACTGTGTATCCAAATCTTAAAATAGTTCATATTTTTTTTATCTCTCTCAATTGTTTGATCGATTTTTATTTTTTGGTTGATTGATTGATGCATTGATTTTCGTTTTTTGTTTTGGTTGAATTCATACGTTGTAGTTGTTTACTAATGAATGGCACATTGATGAACCTTTAAATTATTAAGTAAACATTTTGTTCAGTAATGATATATTTG